CGTGGTCATCAGGACTTGTATCGCATCCAACGTGCCAATCTTTCTCGAGAACCCTAGGGCGTCGGTGATGTGGTGCAAATGAAATAGATCATGACTCGCCCTGTGTGTTTCGATCCCTGCTGCGTTTTTTTGCATTTCATGTTTTATTTGTTTTTTGGCAGTATCATGTCCCTTGGAAGACGGCAGCCAGAATTGCTGTCTGGCACGGCGCCATCCCGTCACGCACCTGCGAGCGATTTTCAGGCAAGCGCTGATTTTGTAGCATGATCAACAAACGCCACGTCGAACTCTCTGGTAATGCGCCTGGAGGGCGCAATCGTATAAGTATTGCCACGCCATGTCCTGTCTTGTTTGCCGCCGCTGGCGCTAAGTGCATGGTCCTTGCTGCTGGGAGTTTGAAAACCCACATGCTGAAAAGTATGTCGCTGGGCCTGTAATGCGGCCATGTCTGGCCAAACTTCCTGTGCGGGATCGGGTGCTTGCGTCCTGGTGTTCAGAATCGTTCGCTCTCCAATATTGTTTTAAATTGCAGTCTGAATCTCGACAGCGGCGGCCCCGATGTGGTGCCTTCGCGCGCGCGTCGCGATACAAAACCATGATTTGGTCACTGAAGAGAACGACCGAGCTGGATGCGTTCACCACTTCAAGCCGAGCAGTGTCGTAGGTGGCCGCACGGGCACGCGCGTTCCGTACCCCGCAAGGCTCCCACCCGCCCCTTTTTTACTCTCGCTTTCGACAGGGGCTTGCGTCCAGGTGCTCACAGTCGTTCGCCCCCCACCTTTTTTTTCAAGTGCAAGCTGGATCTCGATAGCGGCGGCCCCGATGTGGTGCCTTTGCGCTCGCCCCACGATAGAAAAAAAAACCTTCACCTGGTCAGTGAAACGAGCCAGGGCTACACACATCTCTCTCTATCTATATTTGTATAGATAGGTCTATGCATATGTATGTATATATAAACACATATGTATGTATTTATCGATGTGTGTGTCTATGTCTGTATATATACATGTAAAGATACACGAGATAACACCATCTATACTGAGAGGGAAAGAGAGAGATCAAGAGAGAGAGAGAGATAACAGAAAGAGAGAGAGAGAGAGCGACATACATAAAGGAGAAACAACGAAACAACATGGGACACACGGGACATCTAGTAGGAGGTGCGTGCCATATTTGGCGCGAGCACACCTAGTTTATCCTCCCTTCTCTCAACAATTCGACGATCTGAGTAGTACCTTCCTCTCTTCCCTGACTCCGTCCAGACGATGCTCGGCCCTCTCCGCGTGCTGTTCTCGACGCGCAGAATCGTCGAATTTGATTGTTCTTCTCTTGTGTTTTGCAATCCGATTGTTTCTGGTTCTTCAATGTGGTGCTTCCGCTGCGGCGTGGGCCTCATTTTCGGATCGGCGCTGTGCTCCCGTCGCGCATAACGGCGCTCTCGCCCTGGCGCGGGCCACTTCTCCGAATCCGAATATTTCTTCGTCGTTCTCGCCCCCTTCATGTCCCCACCTCCGCTCTCCCCTCATCCTCCTATTCCTTCCGCTCGTTTTGGAACGCCCGTGAAGGATTGCATGCTCCTGTCGGCCTCCTTCTGCTCTGCTCCGTCCGGCCTTCCAGCGCTCTCGTGCCTCAATTCGCAACGGTACGCCCCGCCGTCTGTTCGACCGACGCTTGTTCGCTTGCGCCCGTGGGCCGACCAAAACACCCGTCTGGCTCCTTCCAATCCAGTGCCTGCTGCTGCTGCTGTTCGTCCTCGTCTTTTTTGTCCCCGCTTTTCCCCCTGCTCACCCGCCACCTCCTCCTGTGCACGCAGCTCCCCTTCTCCGATTGCGCATCACACGATGCTGTCTCATTGCTGGAGTTGCAGGTCGGCTCTGACACGCGTCCGCGGACGGAAAAGTCAGCGCGAAGGGAAGGGATGGGAGGGAGTGATCGGATGTCAGATCAGGTGCGAGCGCACCTAGCTTTCTTCTCTCATCTCTCCCTCTCCCTCCTCCCCCCCGTCCTCCTCCTTCTCCCCTGTTCTGCTTTGTTCTCATTGGAGGCAAGTGTCGATACCACTTGCCCGGAAATCCTCCTCCTTCTCCTCTCCCCTCTCCTCCCCTCCTCTCCCCTCTCCTCCCCTCCCCTCCCCTCTCCTCCCCCCCCCCCCTCCCCTCCCCCCCCTCCCCTCCCCTCCCCTCCTCCCCTCCCCTCCCTCCCCTCCCCTCCCCTCCCCTCCCTCCCCCCCCCCCCCTCCATCCCCTCCCCTCCCCTCCCTTCTCCTCCCCTCCCTCACCTCCCCCCCCCTCCCCCCCTCCGTCCCCTCCTCTCCTCTCCTCCCCTTGCGATCCTCGGGGAGGAGGGTTGTTGACGTCGACCGCGGCGCCAGCAGGGCGCGCGCGTGCGCCGACCACGGGTCCCGCGCGCTTCCCGAGCTCCCCCCCCGTTCCCGCGGGCGCCCAGGCCAAGGAGCTCGAGGGCGAGGCCCGCTCCGGGGGGGGTGGGGGGTGGCGGATGCGCGGGGGCAGTGGAAGGGATGAGGGGGGAGGAGGAGGAGGAGGAGGAGGAGGAGGAGGAGGAGGAGGAGGAGGAGGAGGAGGAGGAGGAGGAGGAGGAGGAGGAGGAGGAGGAGGAGGAGGAGGGAGGGAGGAGGAGGGGGAGGGGGAGGAGGAGGAGGAGGAGGAGGATCGAGGATCGAGGATCGAGGATCGAGGATCGAGGATGGAGGACGGAGGATGGAGGATCGAGGATGGAGGATCGAGGATGGAGGATCGAGGAGGAGGGAGGATCGGCGGCGAGCGAAGGGGGGAAACCGAGAAGGAGAAGGCCTTCCCAGAAGGCGGCGGGACTTCTCAGAAGGCCTCCGGCCTGTGGAAAGTTTCCTGTGCCTTCGGGGATGGCTAGGACAACTTCTCAGAACGCGGGGGAACATCCGAGCCTTCGCCGATAAGAGGGAGGTTGTGGTGGCACGGTGGCATGGCGGTCAATGTGTGCTCAAACCCATTTCTTATCTGGAAAACCATTTGGAGGCCCCAGGAAAGAAGACCAGACAGCCAACGAACAAAACTTCATAACCTGGCTTCCGATTGTGTGTAATTGTCCTCGTCTGATGGTTCATGATATTTCGATAGAGGTGAGGGCAGATGTTTCTGTTGGTCCTTTGATGGTTCGGGCTCCTCCTCCCTAGTCGGGATCCGGCCACTTGGAATCCGAAAACAAGTCCTCATCCTCCTCCTCGCCGCTTCCACGTCTATCGCTTATCCATTCCCCCACGATGTGATTGCTCTGATTGCTCCCACGCGCGATGTGCATAGCACAAGCTACGGTGAGTGCGTTTGTGAAGGGATGTGCCCAGGAGGCTTCAGACCCTGGAGATCCCTTATCGAATGAGGGCGACGGTGACGTCCATGGCCAATCTACGATTGGAGTTCCACAGGCTTCCAGACCCTGGATTATGTATCCCATGGTTTCTCATCCAATGCCCTCGGCCTCCCATGACCGACAGCACGCCAGCCAGGAGGGAAACATAGGCACAGACACAACTAACTACCAATAATCGATGATTCCCCGGAAAATGCGGGAGCATCTGAGAAGTGGACAGGGGAAGACGACGCTCAGGAAGTGTGGACAAGTACGGGGAATCCTGGAATTTATGCCTCTTTACCTGTGTGCCCCCGGGCCCCGTCCGCGGGCGCCAGCGCAGGACTGCGGGGGGAGGTGGGGTGCACCCATGGGGAGCAGCGCGCGACCAGTGAGGCCCAGCGTGGAGGGCTCGAAGGGGCCCGAGGACCCACACGTCCCCGAGGCGTCGCTCCGAGGACGACAGCGACGAAGACGACGCCACGACGACGCCGACGACAACGACGACGACGTCGACGACGACGACGACTGGCTATGGAGGAGGCGGGTCCTGAGAAAGACCGGTCCTGGATCCCAAGGCTTCTCCCCTGGGACCAGTTCTTCATCCTGATTCGGTCCTTGACGGTCTCCGTTTCCCTCGGACCCTCGCCTCCCATGGCGAGACCATCGCGACGACGACGGCGGCGGCGGTGCCCAGGACGCACTCGGCGCCCTGCTCTGCCGGGCGCTTGAGTCCTCGCGCGAGAGCGGGGGCGGCGCCCCGGTGACGGAGGAGAGCCTGGCGAGTCTCTGCAAGGCGCTGGTCGCCGCCGCCGTCGCCGTTGTCGTCGCCGTCGCGATCGTCGTCATCGCCGTCGTAGGAGGAGGACCACTGCAAACTCAAAACTGGCCACTGATGTTGCAAAGCAGCCCTCCCTCTAAGTTCCTTTTCCATCGGCTCCTGTAAGGGTTATCTTCGCTGTGGGAAGAGCCCCGTTGGAGGAAAACCGTTTGAAATCTTCGAGCGTCCCTCCGAGGCACCAGTCCTGGGACTTCAACGCCGCGAATAAACGTCACTGGTGCGACCTGTTGATACTAAATCGTGTTATAACACCATTCGTGGGACGTCAACAACGCGAATCAACGTGCCGGTCGCGCCCTGCAATTCTAAATCGACCCAGAAGACTGTTTCTGGGGCGTCAAGCATGAAAATCCTTCAAACTGCTGTCAACTATTAAGACGACTGTGCGCGGCGCGAAGGCAAGAGGCACATCCACCCGTACAAGTCTTTAATTTTTGTATGCGAATGCTCGCGGCGATAAGGCGGGAACCACATTTTGAGTACGAGCCGCCCTCCGTCTGTGAAGCTTATGCACATTTTTATGACGAATGCGCGCGGCGCTCAGGCGGGGGCCAAATTTCGAAAACGATCCGTCCTCCATCCGGGAAGCCCTGTGCAAACGTTTGAGCAGAATGTGCGCGGCGCCCAGGCGGGAACCACACTTCGAAAAGCACCCGCCCGCCATCCGTGAAGGCGTTGCAATGTTCCGGCTTCGGGTCCATAAGTGGCGAGGAAGTCTCAGGCGAAACCTGCGGCCCGCCCTGCCGACCCGTCTCGGGGTGCGACAGGGAGGAGTCACGTAGAAAGAAGAGGAATGTAGGAGGAGGACGACGGTGGGAGCAGAGGTGTTTGCCCAAGCATTTGTTGCGGTGTGGCAGTTTTCACAAGAACCATTCGATTCCGTCTGTCCGTCTGTTCCTCCTCCCTTTTGTGCCGCGATGCCGGTGCTGCAGCGCTTGGACTGGATTGGCTGCCAGGCGCAACTGGGCAGACCAACGCATGTCACAGTCGGCCTCAGCGCAGACCCGGCCGAGCTAAAGGTCAAAGTTTGTCTCATCAGCACTGGCTCATGAAGCCATGCCTGGCCTGTGGCTGCGCTTCATGGAGTTCTCTTCTCATTATTCACAGGCTGCGCGATTCAGTTCACCTGCGCTCCGCTGTGGACCTTGGTGGCGAGCGCACGAAGGGAGTCTCCGAGGTGGCAGTGCGGCTATCTATTGGCCCACGACGGCCAAGGTGACGCCACGATCGGGGAGGACAGATTGTTGGAGGCCACCCCGTGCGCCCAGAGCAGCCAGTCCCAAGTAGCGGTGCAGAGGGTATTTATGTTTGTGCTGGGTGCCCCTGCACCAGACCGAATCGCTCTGTACCCGCCCGTTCTGTTACCCATCGTGCTGCCTGGGTCGCTTCTGGTATTCATCCGAAAGGCGGGCCATAACAAAGACGAGGAGACGGGCAACCGTCGTGATCCTGAGCCGTGGCTGAAGGGCATGGGCAAGCCCCCAAAAGCGGGTTCAACCCTGAGACGTTCTCGTTGCTAGCTCGTTGCTGGTCTACGCCACGTCGTTCCCTAGCCTGCTGGCAAGGGCATTGGCAAGGACAGCGCCTCGAACGTCATCGGGCTCCCGCAGGAGCTTTTTCCCCATGGGGGTCGTGTTCGAGATGAGCTTCGCATGGTCATGCTCACCTCGAGTGCCCTGCCGCGCCCCAGCAAGGGCGGGGGCAAAGGCAACGCCGAGTTGGCAGATGCAGAGCAGGCGCTGAGGTTCGGGACCGTAGCGGACGACGAGAGGGCTCTCCGCAGGCAGAGCATCGTAGCTCGCAGAAGACAGACGCCAAGAAGGGTAGCATGCCAGAGATTTGAGGTTCGACGACGGCAGCGTAGCTTCGCATCGTACGTGAGAGCACTGGAGCAGTTCCCCTGGCTCCTGGAGGAGAGGAAGGGGTATGCTCGAGTATTGGTGGTGGACGAGGAGTCGGCGGACCCTTTTCCTTAGCTTGTACAGCTTTGTGCATCACGTCGACGTTCACGCCGCCTCGCACGCACGAGATTCACCCTTTGTGTATGCCTCCGCATTCTTTGAGCGGGGGGGTGAGGTGGGGGCTGCGAAGTGTATCGTGTGCCGAGAGTGGGTTTGGCCGCCGCTTCAACAAGGCGCGGCCCTTGCAATTCTGCCGAGGAAACTGTTGACGGTATTTCTCATCAGGCCCGTGTGTTGACATTCGTGGATCTGTTCTTCGGATGCTTCAGAGGGTGTGACCAGAGTAAACCAAAGATGCATTAGCGATGCTACAGTACGCCCTCTCGTCCCTAGCCCCCTCCCCATACATCCCGGCAAGCCTGCCGTTCCACATGAAGAGGCGCCCCATTGAAAGATCAACGCCCTTGGGGCCTTTATTCAGGCGAGAACCAGTTTTCGATAAACGCGAGCTGTCTTGCAGCGTTCCAGCGTGTAGCGACGAACGCACAGAGGCATCAACCTACAACCCAACGAGGTGTACAGCGATATCCCGGTTTTGAAACAAAGAACTGCCACCCCGTGTGTGAAACTCTCGCACGCGTGCTAACTTCTGGCCATGGGCGTCGAGTGAGTCTCAAACGAGAACACCATCTGAAAAGGAGCAGCCTGCCATCCGTGCAGTTGTTTGATAGGTTAACTTTTCTGGTCTCTATAACTGAAGTCTTAAAGCGAACTGGGTCCTGTACATTAGGTGCCCACCAACCCTGCACCTGACGCACACTTGTTAGATCAATGTGCACGGCGCCACGGCGAGAGCCCTATGTTGCAAAGGAGCCGCCATCCATCATTCGAACTGCTGTCCACATTTGAAACACATGTGCGCGGCGCTAAGGCGAGAACCCACTTTGAAAACGATCCGCCCTCCATCCTGGCGGCGCTACGGCGTGGGTGGTCGGGAAATTGAGGGGAGCAGCGACCAATCCCTCGGCACATTCTACTCAGGTTCGCCCGTCGCGCGGCAACGTGGGGCGGAGGGTAGCAGAACATGTGTACTTATATGCTAGTTGTCAAACTGTAGCGCAGAGGCGAACACCATCTCATCTCAACTCGGCGCGTGGCATCGCAAGGTGTTGACACCATGTTGTTCAATCTCGCTTGTCGCTTGGCAACACAAGGGGACGTAGCACATACGACTCTTGCTCCATTCGCCACGTGGTGCGTATTGCAGGGAGGCGGAAATGCATCGATTTTTTTGCGCGGCTCGCCACGTGACAGAGCAGCGAGGGTGAACACACAATTCTACTCCTGCGCACACGCGCGCTCATTCTCGCCCGTTCGCGCGCCCGCCCGCGCGCCCGCCTGCTCGTCCGCCCGCGCGCCCGCCCGCCCGCCCGCTCGCCCGCGAGCCCGCCCGCTCGCCCGCCCGCTCGCCCGCCGTGCCACTCGCCCGCCCGCTCGCCTACGGAACCCGCCCGCCCGCTGTCGCGGCTGCCCGCTGGCTGAACTCGTTGTGAGCAATCTGATTGAGCCACCATGTTAAAACAAATGTCAAGGGAGGAAAAACCACCCAGACCGGACAACTGGCGTTTCCTAAGCGGCCCCGGGCGTTGACCAAACAGCTTTGCCCTGTTCGATGCCTTCGGTGGGGGCGTTTAGTAAACGGCTTCGCGTGCCAGGGTGTTTATTATGGAGGTCGATGTTCTGCCCTTTAGAGTAAAATGGGAACGGGCACGGGCATAAGAACCGCGAGCCAGGGCAGCCTCGAGCGGCGAAAGCCGCAGCAGCGCCCCGCGACCCCGGGCCCCCCGATCTCCAGCACGGCCAGGCGTGCTCCCCGCCAGGTCGCCCGGAGGGCGCGCTCGCCGACGCTATTTGGGGTCGCCAGGGGCGCTCGCCGACGCTATTTAGCGTCGCCAGGGCGCTCGCCGACGCTATTTAGGGTCGCCAGGGCGCTCGCCGACGCTATTTCAGGTCGCCAGGGCGCTCGCCGACGCTATGTAGGATCGCCAGGGGCGCTCGGCGGGCCCGCGGCGGGCCCCCTTGTGAGCCTGGCCGCCGCGGGGGGCGGCGACCGCCGCCGCCGCGCGCACGGCGGTGACGAGGCAGCCCAGCAGCGCCCTCGCACGAGCCAGCGGCGGGCGTGGTGCCCCAGCGGCGGCCGCAGCCGCGCAGCGGCCGCAGCGGCCCGCAGCAGGCGCGGCGGCGCCAGCGGCGTCAGCAGCGGAGCGGGCAGGCGCCCATGGCCCGCGGAGCAGGTGTGGCGGCCGCGCCCAGCGATCCGAGCGTGTTCCGAACCGGTTGGGGGTATGAGAAAGAGGGAGGGGGGCGGAGGAGAAGCAGGAAGGGCAGGAGGTGGAGGGGGAGAAGGGAGTGGTGGATGGGGGGAGGGATGAGGAGGAGAGAGAGGGGGGCTTCACACGAGAACGCGCATGCATCCCCGAGTGAACCAACGGAAAAGAACGGGGATGGGATAGGGGAAGAGGAGGGGAAGAGGGGGGGACGAGGAGTATGGGGAAGACGAGGAGGCGGACCAGGAGAAGGAGGAGGGGGGGAGGATGAGGAGGACGGAGGAGGAAAGATGAAGAGTAAGGACGAAGGCAGAAGGAGGAAGGAGGAAGGAGGAAAGAAGAGGGAGGGAGGAGGAGGAAAGAGGAAGGAGGGAGGAGGAGTAGGAAAAAGGGAGGGCGTGGCGGAGGGAGGAGGGAGAGGAGGAGGAAGAAGGGAGGACGGAGGAGGGAGGAGGAGGGAGGGTGGGAGGGGAAGGAAGGACGGGGAGCAGGGGAGAGTGGAGGAGGGAGGAGGGAGGGGGGAGGAGGGAGGAGGGAGGAGGAGGGAGGAGGGAGGAGGGAGGAGGGAGGAAGGAGGAGGAGGAGGAGGGAGGAGGGAGAAAGGAAGGAGGGATGAGGGAGGAGGGGGGGAAGGAGGGAGGAGGGAGGAGGGAGGAGGAGGGAGGAGGGAGGAGAGAGGAGGGAGGTGGGAGGAGGGAGGTGGGAGGAGGCAGGAGAGAGGGGGGAGGAGGGAGTAGGAAAGGGGGGAGGGGGGAGGGGGGATGATGATGCTGATGCTAATGCTGATGATGCTGATGCTGATGCTGATGCTGACGCTGATGAGGCTGATGATGATGACGATGCTGATGATGCTGCTGCTGATGCTGAGGATGCTGGCTAGGATGCTGCTGATGATGATGCTGCTGATGGTGATGCTGATGATGCTGCTGATGATGATGCGCTGCTGCTGCTGGTGCTGGTGGTGCTGCTGCTGCTGCTGATGATGCTGATGATAATTGTGGTGCTGATGATGATGGTGATGCTACTGCTGCTGATGATGAAAACTATGATTATGATGCTGCTGATTATGTTGATCATGATGATGCTGATGCTGATGATGTTGATGCTGATGATGTTGATGATGTTGTTGACGATTATGATCATGATGCTGATGCTGCTGCTGATGATGACGATGCTGCCGCTGCTGCTGCTGCTGATGATGATGATGATGCTGATGATGATGATGATGATGATGATGATGATGATGATGATGATGATGATGATGATGATGATGATGATGATGATGATGATGATGATGATGATGATGATGATGCTGATGATGATGATGATGATGATGATGATGTGATGATGATGATGCTGCTGATGATGCTGATGAGCTGCTGATGATGATGATGATGATGCTGCTGCTGTGATGATGATGTATTGATGCTGCGGCTGCTGCTGCAGTGATGATGATGATGTGATGTTGGACGACGACGATGACGTGAAGGAGGAGGAGGAAGAAGAGGAGGAGGAGGGGAGCCAGGGAGGGAGGGGTGGAAGGAGGAGGAGGAGGGAAACGGTAGGAGGAGGAGAGGAGTAGGAGGACGAGGAGGAGGGGAGGACGAGGAGGAGAGGAGGAGGAGCATGGCAGATGGGATGAGATGGAGGAGGAGGAGGAGGGGGAGGAGGAGGAGGAGGAGGAGGAGGATGGGGAGGAGGCGGAGGAAGGAGGAGGAGGAGGAGGAGGTGGAGGGGGGAGGGGGGGGGGAGGAGGAGGCGAGGAGAGGAGACGACAGGAGTAGGAGGAGGACGAAGGGGAGGATGAGGGGAGGAGGAGGAGGATGGAGGGGAGGAACGAGGAGGAGAGAAAGGGGGAGGAGGAGGAGGAGGAGCGGAGGAGTGAGGAGGAGGGAGGAGGAGGAAGGATGAGGAGGAGGTAGGGGTAGGCGGAGGGAGGTAGGAGAGTGGAGGAGGAGGAGGAGCGGAGGAGGAGGACGAGGAGGAGGAGGAGGAGGAGGAGGAGGAGGAGGAGGAGGAGGGGGATGGGGAGGTTCGGTTCTTCCCGGCAGCCCCAAGCATGTACGTATGTGTCAGTCGGGAGGGCGCCATACCCAAGGAAGTTCGTCGGTCCACGGGGGAGGGGAGCAGGGGGGCTTCAGGCGATTTCGATTCGATCGGTCCAGCTCGCTATCGGCTTCGGCCCGATCCGATCCGATGCGGCCCGGAGTCGGCGTGCAGCCTGGCGCGGCCGACCCCATGCGATCTCGCCCCCGTGCCTGTGCGGATAAGGCCGACGCACATTCCGAGTCGATGCTGATTGATCTTGTCGGGTCGGGAGAAGGTGGGGATAATCCATTCGAAGTCGGAGGAAAAAACATCGACGTTCATGGACTCTGGATTTCAGTCAAGAAAATCAAGATTCTGGACCGGACCCTGGGCGGTTTCTGGGAGCTCTTTGTCTCCGTAGGATGTTCGTAGGTCTGGACCTGGACTATTAGTTCAGAAAACTCTTCGAGTGAAGTTTATTTCCATAGCCTTGACATTTTCTCATATCTAAGCAGGGGTGTAGGGAAACGGGGGGTCACGAAGTCTGCTGCATGCAGCTGCTGCCGGCTCCGCCGCCAGGGGCCTTCTGGGGACACACTGGCGCCTCTGGCGCCAGGAGGGGCCATGAGAATCAGCTGCGTAAGCTGATCCGCTACCCGCTTTACTGGCCCTCTCTTCGTCTGACCCGATCCTGGAGTGACCGACAGAAGAGAAATGGGGTCGTCATCGCCGACGTTGGCGCGTGAGCTGCACGCGTAAGTAAGGTCGCGCGTGATCGCTCTCGTTCCCAAAGCAGCGTGACACGCTTGCGGCCCGCGTAAGACACCGCCTAGGGACGCGGAGCAATCCCGCGTAAGGCCCGTTTCTCCAGAAGGGGACAAGCACAGGCACGAAGAATCGCCATCCCCAGGAAGCACTGTAGGAGAACACGGGAAGCGGGAGTGAAGGCGAACGTCGGGAAACTACAGGCACACGTGGGCCATCCCGGG